ATTTTTAATCATGGCTGAGACCTTACAAAGCATATCCATACCTCAACCTTGCCAGAAAGAGAATTGGAAGCTAGTCAAGGTGTTACGAATACAGTTCCAAGCCCATTAAGCTTTTTAGTGCTGTTCTAGCACTCAGTTTTAGTCGAGCCTTTCCCTCTCACTTCAGCTGCACTAGTTATTAGCAGAGGGTCTTGGGACTAGTCAGAAGGATTTGGGGTGGGTGTACCTCAAGGCTTGCAGGACCTGAGTACAATGCAATAGTTGTCTCACACCTGGCAAGTGCTACACATGAGATAAAATTGGAGGAAATTATTTAGCAGATTAGCTAAGAGAAATTAATTATGGTGGAATTAAAAAGAGAGAGAAAACTTAGATGGAGCATTAGGAAAAAACAGTCTGATGTAAACTACTTCAATCTGATAAGTAACATAAAAAGTCATTATTACAAAGTAGAGGTATTTGGGATATACCAAACTAGATATACTGCTAGAAAATACATCCTGGAGAAATTTCATTGGCAGGAGAATAGACTGCATGTGTATGCTTGCCTTTTTTATTCTCGATCTAGGATATTTCATATATTCTGTGATGTGGATTAGCAATCTTTGAGCTTTGTGAGGTAATTCTGAGATAGCAATCAGTAATTTATGTAATTAGCATAACAGTAATTATATGATTACTGTAAATATGTGTAAAACTAATGGTATAATTAGAATATGTAATTACTACTTGTAATTACATAATTAGGTATGATGAAATAACTAAAATTCTCAGGAAAAAAAGAAGATACTTAAAAGGCCAGCTATAGGAACTAGTATAGTGCAGACTTATGTTGCTGTATAAAAAGAAAATTTATTATTTTAATGCTCGCTGTGTTAAAGTTAGCTCAAAAGTAAATGAATGCTAAAAGTGTGAACTGTGCCATAGTACTAGAAGAATTCATTGACTTCTCTGAACAGGAGTAGTTTAGTACAGGCAGTACAAACATTATTGCCACCTGTAATTATTTATTATTTAATGATAAATCTTCATATGCTTGAATTCATATGCCTAATAATATAAAGAGTGGTTTAATAAAAGTATTCAAATATCTACTTTGTGAGGCATTTTCTAATTATTGATTTAAGTAATATATTACTTTTATCCTAAGTCTTCAAAGCATAGTTGCTACCCAGCGGAGATAAAGAATAGAAGCTTTTTACTAGTGGACTCCAGTGCTGCAATGCCATGTCCTTCTCATTTACCACACCATAGAATCATACAATCACGGAATGGTTTGGGTTGGAAAAGACCTTAAAGCTCATTCAGTTCCAACCCCCTGCTACGGGCAGGGACACTTTCCACTAGACCAGGTTGCTCCAAGCCCCTGTGTCCAACCTGGCCTTGAGCACTGCCAGGGATGGGGCAGCCACAGCTTCTCTGGGCAACCTGTGCCAGGGCCTCAGCACCCTCAGAGGGAAGAACTTCTGCCTAAGAGCTCATCTCAATCTCCCCTCTGTCACTTTAAAGTTATTCCCCCTTTTCCTGTCCCTACAGGCCCTTGTCCAAAGCCCCTCTCCAGCTTTCTTGTAGCCCATTTAGGCACTGCAGCTGCTCTGAGGTCTCCCAGAGCCTTCCCTTCTCCAGGCTGAGAAAGCCCAGCTCTCAGCCTGTACACAATTTGCAGCTGACATATTAATAGCTACTGCAAAGCTAATTCATTTTTTAAAGTTCTAAACTCACTGTCCTTGATCTCTACACCAAAACAATTTGATTGTGGTATAGATCCTTATAATATTTATAAAAATTCTTTAACACTCAACAGAATTATCCTTTCAAATAACTTAGCATTCTTCTCTATGGACTAGGTGAAGGAGCCATGGGACACAGTAGTCAGTATTTATCTACAGAAGCACCTCCAGAAGATCATTTGTCTATGTGATTGGCTTACCAGTGTAAATCTCCAAAGTCTGACCCAGAATGACAGACTGTAGGTAGCATATTTTTGCAATTGAGTAATGCTCTACTGACATAAGCAGAATTCTTTCATTATTTCAATATTGTCCTGGGTTTAGCTACAGCAGTCATTTTTCTTCTTAGTAGCTGGTGCAGTGCTGTGGTTTTGACTTTCAGCCTGGGAACAACACTGATAACACCGATGTTTTCAATTGTTGGAAAGTAATGTTTACTCAGACCAAGGACTTTCTTGGTCTCATGCTCTGCCAGGGAGGAGGGGAAGCCAGGAGGAAGCAGAGACAGGACACCTGACCCAAACTGGCCAAAGGGGTATTCCATACCACAGCACGTCATGCCCAGTATAGAAACTGGGGGGAGTCACCTGGAAGGCCGAGATCGCTGCTTGGGTCGAGCTGGGTATTGGTCGGCGGGTGGTGAGCAACTGTATCCTCTCCCCTTGCTATTTCCCTTATCATTATTATTCTTATTGGTAGCAGTAGTGGTTTATATTATCTCTTAGTTACTGGACTGCTCTTATCTCAACCCATGGAAGTTACATTCCTCCGATTCTCCTCCCCATCCCTCCGGGAGCAGGAGGAGAAAGAAGGCGGGGAGTGAGCGAGGGGCTGCGTGGTTTCAAGTTACCGCCTGAGCTTAAACCATGACAAATATACTGGAAATACATAATTTTTCTTTATATATATGTATGAAAAATACATGTATACATATATATATTTATACATGTTTGTGTATATGTATTTTTATACATATACACATACATACTTTCTGTTATAAGTTCTCCAAAAGAGAAATATGTGTGTGGATATATACACACACATAAAACCAAATCCAGTATAATACATAACATATGCAACTTCACACACAAAGATTATTTTTATATACAGTTATATGTATGTCTATAAAATGAAAAGAAATATGAAATAACATTGCATTTCTGAACCAGAATATGCAATGATTACTTCAAGTAATAGTTTTGACTACCTCATTTCTAGCTAAACAGGAAATTGGTTTTATGTGATCTATAATCTGAGCAATGTTCATGATGCAGCCAAAAAACCAGAAGGGATAAACTCTGAAGAGATGGATGAGATTCCTGGTAGAATTCCAAATGGTAATTCAATTGCACCTTATGAGGAAATACACCAAGTAATTCACCAGCAACTTTTACAGAATAATAGATGTTTGTGTTTTACAACTTATTTCAGGCTGCAATATAGCCTGTAAAATTTCTCAAAGCAAATCTTAAACTTTCACTTCTTTCTAAAATAATACACACACTATGTTGGATTCCCTCAAATCTTTTGCTTGCTGCACATATAAATCCGGAAATTCACTGAGGCTACCTCAGAAAGTTCCCATCCTATCATTTGTAGTTACTGGTCCACATTCTTTTCTTCTCCATTATGCCCCATGCACTCACAATGTGAACACAGAAAAAAGAAGCATATTCTTCAGCTTTGTCATGGTTTCATTTATTTAGTATTCAATTTGCAATATTTTTTAAAAATTTTTTCTCCTACACATAGTAGGTCTTCCTAGAACTAGAAATTCCCATTTTTGAATGTGGATGGCTCCAGTATTTCAGATACTATTAGATACTATTTTGATTGTAATATCTAATATTACAAATACTAATACACAAATACTTTCTTTTTTCTCCTTAAGGTACCAGATCATATACTGTAATGTATCTTGGGACTATATTAGCTTTTTCCACAACACCATTATCCTTCAGCATCCTTTGTTTGGCTAAAACACACAGGCTTTCTTCTCTGCTGTACTGCAAATATATGAATCTCCAGGATCTGTTACTAACTGTTAACGCATAGTGCATTTCATACCATAGCAGTTTATTCTATTTTTGCTATTCCGGTCTTCAAGATTGTCCTGGGTTCAGCTACAGCAGTCATTTTTTCTCCTTCTTAGTAGCTGGTGCAGTGCGGTGTTTTTGACTTTCAGTCTGGGAACAAGGCTGATAACACCGATGTTTTTAGTTGTTGCTAAGTAATGTTTACTCTGACCAAGGACTTTCTCAGTCTCATGCTCTGCCAGAGAGGAGGGGAAGCCAGGAGGAAGGAGAGGCAGGACACCTGACCCGAACTGGCCAAAGGGGTATTCCATACCACAGCACGTCATGCCCAGTATAGAAACTGGGGGGAGTTACCCGGGAGGCCCAGATCACTGCTCGGGTCGGGCTGGGTGTCGGTTGGCGGGTGGTGAGCGGTTGTGTCCTTTTCCCTTATTATTCCTCTTATCATTATTATTGGTAGCAGTAGTGGTTTGTATTATACCTTAGTTACTGGAGTGCTGTTATCTCAACCCGTGGGAGTTACCTTCCTTTGATTCTCCTCCCCATCCCTCCGGGAGCGGGGGGAGGAAGAAAGAGGGGGGGGTGAGCGAGCGGCTGCGTGGTTCCAAGTTGCTGGCTGGGCTTAAACCACGACAAAGATTACCTAGTCTTTTGTAAATGAAGAACTCCTTCGCTAGTAACAACTTTAGAAATCAGACCTTTATAATGCATTTGTAGTCAACATTACTGGTAAAATCACATGAGACTGTTCCCAGGACAGATTCTGGGATGACAGATGAACTCCACTAATGACTTCTCTGTAAACCAGTGGTCCCACTTTCAGAGGCTAGAAGTGTAGCCTCTGAAAGTTTGATAAGAAAGTAACATCTATTTTTGCCCTGCTCTTACACTTGTTGATATCTGTGAATAATTACTCTTTAAGGCAGGGTACTTGGGAAGATAAACTCCTAGCCTGAATCATTTCTTGTATTTTTCTACTTTACACTATTTACTCCTTCTTGTTTGACTCTTAGATAATAATTTTGCATTCTGCAAATGTTTTCATCATATCAGATGTTCTGCATGACAGATTTGGTCTCTTAAATTTCCTCCATCTTAAAAAGAATAAAATGGCTATTTTGAGCATTACGTATTTGTAGACTAGACAAGTATCTCCATAGTATACTACAAGTGTTTCTGCAAAATAAAATATTTACTTTATCTAAAAAAATAGATATAAAACATGCAATATTTACTTTGTTGGCAGTTTCTTCCCATAAATTCACCTGGACATTCACAGGAATAGTTGGCAACGAGATCTGTACAAATTCCACCATTCTTGCATGGTTCAGCTTCACATTCATTTATATCTGCAAAAAACACACAAGATATTGCCAGGATTGGTAAAGAGAAATTGTAAAAGCAATAACCACATGTTTTAAAGCACTAAACTACAATGTAGTTATGCAATTGGCATTAGAAGCAAACACGCTCCACAAAACGTGCGATTAAACAGGGTATGCTTTAGGAAAAAAACATAACAATCTCATAAATTTAGGTAGATTCATATATCTACTGAAGTTTTACTATGTCCTACTATGCAACAGCATTTAAAGTTTTACTCAGGGATTTTTATACTAATGCCTAGAGAACATCAGGACCACAAGTCACTGTTTGGCCTTAAAGAAACAAATTCAAATGGTTCTAACAGGGTACTCATTAGTGATCCTTGCAACTTCAAGAAATGCGGCTACTTTTTTATCAACAGATGCCAGTTAAGAATGTCTCTCAGTTCATCTTAATTCATTAAACATCTAATTGACAAGATTGTTTAATTGTCTAAAAAACCTCCTTTCTATGCATGAGTTAGCAGGTAAATTGAAACTAATAGCTTGTTCCTGAAGACTGCAAATTTTATTAAATTCAGAAGGCAGAAAAGGTGATTAATTTCATTTGAGTTTCCTTTTTCAGGAACTCTTTTTTCAAATTCTACAAGAATACTACTCCCCTGTGTTTTTCAGTATGGTAACCTGTAATTATCAGATTCTTAAATGAAATATAGTATTTTTCAGTCATCTTAAATAGACAGGTGAAGGATAATGATATCTCCTAATTAAAATTCTCCATCTCTGAATTTATGTTTACTCTGTATGGAGTAGAAACATAATATGGATTATATGCATCATTCTCAAAGGGCTGCATCAATGCATACAGTTAAATATTCAAAAAACAGTAGCCTGCATTAGCTCCATTAAGAACTGATGTACTGTTGCATAAGACACTGTAAACAGCAAACGGAAAAGTAGTCTTTAGCTTGTACTACAATTTCTCTTCACTTAGTTTTGCTTAAGTGCATATTCGTTTTGGATACAGTTCCTGATAAAGCACACATGTGCATAGCACAGAAGTAAGTTGAAACGAGAAGACAGAGACTAACTAATTGCATTCACTAGTGGGTAAAATGTCCTACGAATTGAAGCATTACTTCTCACTGTTGTGCTGAATCTGCTTCTGTCCCCAAAATGCCAACCTGGTTTGCACTGTCATATACAATCTAAAGAAAATGCTTCATAAGTTCTAAACCTGATGCAATAAGGCTGGTGCAGAAGAAGCAGAATTCAGATGTCAATGAAGCTGCTTCATTTCTGGTAGCTGAGCATGTAACTTTTGTACTTTTAATTTGGATTTTCACATTTACTAGGAATCTATGTACAAAAATTCAGTGTTTTAATACACAACTTGCCTAGATCTGATTGATTTTGTGATGTCTCCAGGGAAGTCTGCACCTCCAAGTCTTCTCTGCAGATCTAAAGAGCTGTGTAGCTTTTAAACTATGTGTGCAATGTACATGTGGTAGGTTGAAAACTGGTGGAATGGCTGGGCCCAGAGGATGGTGATCAGTGGTATGAAGTCTAGTGGGAGGCCACTATCAGTGTACCACTGGAGCCAGTATTGGTCTGACCCTGTTCAACATTCTTCATTAATGATCTGCACAGTGGGGCAGTGTGCACCCTCAGCAAGTTTGCTGATGACAAATAACTTCATGGCTGACATGATAGAGGCTTGTGCTGCTGTTCAGAGGGACCTCCACAGGCTGGAGAAATGGGCTGAACAGATAGCTCATGAAGTTCAACAAGGGGAAGTGCAAAGTCCTGCCTCTGGGGGGGAACAACACCAGACACTAGAACACATGGGGAGACTGACCAGCAGGAAAGCAGCTTGGCAGACAAGGCCCTGGGTGTCTTGCTGGACAACAAGTTGATCATGAGACATCAATGCACTCTCATGGCAAAGAAGGTCAATAGCCTCCTGTATTGGGAAAAGCATTGCCACCAGGTCAAGGGATTTTCATTCTTCCCCTCTACTCAGCACTGGCAAGGCCACACCAAGAGTGTTGCATTCATTTCTAGCGTCTCCAGTTTGAGAGAGACAGGGACATATCGGAGGCAGTTCATTAAAAGGCCACTTAGATAATTAAGGGACTGGAGCACCTTGCCAGTGAGGAAAGCCTGAGAGAGCTGGCACTGTTCAGCTTAAAGAGGAGGGCTGGGAGGAAACTCAGCAATGTGTGTGAGTACCTGAAGGGATGGTGCAAGAAGATAGAATCAGGCTATGTTCACTGGTGGTCAGTGACAGGACAAGAAGCAGTTGGCACAAATTGAAATTCAGAACGTTCTGTCTCAACATCAGACAACACTTTTCCACTCTGAGGGTTACCTTTTTTTTACTAAGGGGTGGTGTAGGGTGCCCAGGATGTTTGCCAAGTCTCCATCCTTGGAGATACTTAAACACCATTTGAGTACAGTCCTGGGCAACCAGCTCTAGGTGGTCCTGCTTGAGCAGAAGCGGGATGAACCAGATGGACTCCAGAAGCCCCATTTACCCTCAAGCCTCATGTGATTCTGTGATAATCATCCCATTGCTGTGGACAGAAATGCAGGGACAGTTCTTCAGCTAAATGTGGAAGCTAGTTTCAGTTCTCTGAAGCAGAAAAAATTTACATTTTTATACTGAAATTGGTGATGGTTACTGATCTCTGAGCTTCTTTTTAACACTTCATGTCATACTATTTGTTGCCTATGACGACACCACATACATACTGGACAAATAAAAAAATCACAGGTTTAACTGAATTTCTGCCTATTATAGAGAAAAAAGTAATAGCTTAGTGTACAAGAAATAAAACCTGATAAGGGAAACGACCAAAGAACAGACCTGCTGAATTCTAAATTAAATTCTTTATATGCATTTATAAAATTTAATGAGATTCTTCAGCTCCCTATTTGCCTTTTTAAGAAAAGCCCATTAACCTTATGTTTTCATCAGGTTATTCATCATGTTAATACAGGCTAACACATTTGTGGGGAAAAAATATCAAGGTCACTGTAAACTAAAAAACTTTAAGTGAACATATGAACTATCTCTTACTTGGTGGAATAAAGGTAGAGATTTATCCTCCTAAATGCTTTTCTGTGTAAATATATTTTCTCAATATATTTAGATTTTTCTAATTTGTCATTCCTATTGAAATATGCAGGAAAAAATGCACAGCTTTCCAGACTATTTCATATAATCTATGCAGTGATGTAGAAAACAGACTGAACTTTAAGTACCAGACATCTTTAAAGCAATCCTCATATTCTATCTCTATGGAGCAATTACCTATGATCAGTGCAGAAAGATCTAAGTTCTTTATTATCATCTTTGTAACTTGGATTCTACAGTGATTTTTTTCCAGTAACTTGAGAACTTTTAGTCCTATCAGTTCAGTCAAATATGTCATATTTGATGAATGAGGAAATACTAGCTAATCGTGGCATCGTATTTGATACCAGAACAGATGTTCAGTTGGAAAGATAATGAACTGAAATGTATTAAAGAAAGGAGCATAAGTTCTACAGAATTATTTAATTTACTACTCATTATTTAATTTGATTGAACGTGCAGATGTAGAATATTTAATTAAAAGCAGTTCCTGCAAATCGTGGTCAGATTTTGTTCAAATTCCAAGATGTGTCAATTATGATACTAAACTTTACACCAGCTGGTGTGTTTCTTTCTTCCCAAACACATATATTCCTTTTTAAACTTTGTCGCATTGTCATGATTAGAAGTAAATTCAAATAGAAATTTTAAAATGACATAGTTTCTGGAGTAGCTGCTCCTAAAGACAATAAATTCCTAAAGAAAAGCTCTCTGTATGTTGCCAGACACAAATTCTTCACTGACTATGCAATTAACCTACTTATGTTGGAAGAATGCACTTTTAGAGTAAATAAACTGTAGGTTACTCATGATTTTTCAGGTAAACTTATATTTTGTACCTGGTCAGATTTTGAAGTTTAATTCAGGTAACAGCATTATGCAAGCAGTAACTAAAATGCAGGTATCTGAGTACTAACAGAGAATTCAAGAGTTACTCACAGAGGAACATAGTAAGACTTAGACACTAAGTGAAATGGACTTCTGAAGAGTTTGAAGTGCCAGACAGATAAATACTGTCCAGATTGGTTAAAAATCCCCAAATCCATACAAAAAAACTGAAGCCCTGAAAACCCAATCCTGCCCATGCCCAATCTCCCAATATTTCTCTACTGAAGATGGATTATTAAATGAGTGGTGGTTCAGGAACAAGGAAACACTGATCATTTTCTGAAAAATAGATTGTTCCTTGAATAATAATAGCTTGAAAGTCTCAGGCAGTTGATTAATAAAGAAAGGCTATATGAAAGTTTCTTTTTATGCTGAAGATGATTAAATTTACATTTCCTGCCTTGTACGATCAAAACATAACTACAAAGCTATTAGGCACGCTTCTGTTTGAAACAGTCATTGTACACCCTGGAACAGAAGTATGCTGTCAGAAACTGGGCAAGTAAAAGAGAACTTCGCTATATTACAGTGATTTGGAGAATCCATCAAGAGGGTTTTTTCCTTCTCTGCTGGATTATAATTTTTTAATCCTTCAATTATTTAATAAACATGAATGAAAACTAGCACTGTCCTTGCAAATATAATATAATTAAATATACATATCCTCATTGTGGACTTTACCTATTAAACAGAGTCACATCTGTTTTCCTGAAAAATCACCCCGGATTAAATGGATATATAAATTATTTAGCTGTCATAATAAAAAATTTAAATTCCAGTAATTTGAGTTCATCAGAAAGCTACTTGTAAACCTGACTTTCTGTGATAAAGGGACTGATAAGCTCAATTAGTTGCTTTTGCCAGTGCAGATTGTGTTTTGGCTGCAAATGCACACCATTATCTTGTTCCTATTCCCTGCTTACTTGTTCGTTTCGTAGCCCAGATTCCTGGTTCCTGCCACCTGAACCCTTGTTTCTGATCCAGGACTATGTTTTGC